AGTAGCTTTGTTTCACATCATTGTAACATGTTGGCACCCACCTTGGCTGAGATAAATGGGCCTCCATTTTCTGATAGCCCCTTTTCCCCTAAACCACTCTATCATTTCATGGGCCGACTCCTAGCTCACATCTACCCATTTGTCTTATTGATAAGGGGAGTGGGTGCTATTTTTAAGGCAGAGGAAGCCACCTTTTGACATAAAATGTACCGAGGCCCATTTTATGACTTTCTTAATTAACAAGCGCCTTGGGACTCTCCTACAGACAACTAAGAGCAAAAACAAGGACTCCTGGCTGGTTCTCAAACTCCAGTGCCTTGTTGGTGTAGCGCACTGGAGAAAAAAAAAACAAAACTAAGTAAAATAAACTAAATAAGAAAATCAAGTCTACCTCCAAGGCTACTTCAATGAATACTCCAACCTTTCTGAGCTAAGGCTTGAAAGAAATTTCAATGAAATCTCTTTATAACTCCAGGGTTAAAAGTCGATCGATTATCCTTATTTGGGGATATGATTTGACTTCACTATATTTGACTTTTTTTTGTGATATAAAGGCTTCTTAATGTGTAGGACTAGATGTCTCATCTGGAACGCCTACTTGCTGCTGGAATGATTCTACCTCTGTCTCTCCGCTCACCCCACCTTGCCCTCGTGAAGGCTGCATTTTTCTTCTCAGATTTATCTGAACGTCATAGGGGAAGCATTGTTCTTCTTCTCCTATTCGTTTCATCCACAAACCTTTGCAGCACATACCTCCCATTGCAAAGCTTCGTGCTAAGGATTCGCAGATGGGCTGAAGGAGATGGAGCTCCTCCTCAAGTGACATGGCATGAGAGAAGCAAGAGTAAAAGTATTCTTTTCGAGACACAAGCAGTATTCTGATTGATGGGGTGACCAAACATTTCCTCTTTGACTTCTTTTTACTTTTAGCTTGTCTTTCAGCTTGTCTTGAACTAGTTGGGAGGAAAGAAAATAAAGTCTTCCATATGCTTTCTGCTGTTTCTGAGGATGACTTGCTTAATGATAGTGGTAAGAGACACACTTGTCAGTTTGGCTGCTTCTACACTGCTTCAGCAAGAGAGAAAATAGAGAATTTCATCCTTTTTCCTTTTGCTTTTATAGAAGAAAGTTCTGATTTTCATATCTAGTGTGTCCCTTTTCTCTCCCTGATTTTGTTGCACTCCAGCCTATTTTAACAAATGCCTTAGAAATGCTGAATCACTGTGCCTCTCTCTTGAGTCCCTAGACTGGGGGTGGAAGTGCAAGAGGAAACACACATGTAGGTTGCAAAGCAGAGCTCTGGGTGTACTGTATGTCTCAGGAGATCTCGTAAATATTCAGTGCTGAGCAGCCCTTATTATTTCTTGACAGCTCTCATTGTGAACATGTGTATTATCTCTTCGCCAGCCGGCTGGACAAAGTTCTTCTGTGCTCATCATTGTTTCTGGAAACCTTCAGGTTTTCTCCAGTAGAGAATGTTTAGGGGTCTTTCTACCTCCAGACAGGATGATGCTTAACTACATGTCCAAACAGTGCCATTTTAGGGAGCAGAAGTAGCCACTATTGATGAGCCCGGGGCAACAGACATAAACTGAGAGCAGGTGGGGAAAGTGGTCACCCTAGGTATTAAACAGTTTCTGTCTTTGAGCTTTGGTCCTGATTTATTGTAATTTTCTCCCCCGTACTATCTAGGAAGTTTTTTTCTGACCATCTCCAAGTATTAGAGTGTGAAATTGCAAACAAA